AAAGAGAAAAGGAGGATGAACAAAGAAGAGAAGGGCATTATCAGGTTCACAAATTCATCATATCTTTTTTAGAATAAATAAAAATAAAAGATTAGATTATTTTTTGAACTATAACAAACAAAATATATCAATTAATAAAGTAATAAAAATAACAAAAGAAAGAGAAAAGGAGGATGAAGAAAGAAGAGAGGGGTCTTATCAGGTTCACAAATTCATCATATCTTTTTTAGGTTATTTAATTAATAAATTAATAATTAAAATTTAACTTAATGATTAATTAATGTTTAATGAAATCATCTAATCGTATTTTTGAGTTGAGGGGAATAGAGGAGAAAGGAGAAGAGGGAAGAAAATTCCTCTATTTGGTTACCAAAAGAATTGGATGGGAAAGAAAGCAAAGGAAGCTCTTTGTTTTATTTATTTATTTTTAATTCATTTACTTATCCAAATTGGTGGGTGGTAAGGGAAGGGAAATGTGGGAAAATGGAGAGATATAAAATCCTTCAATTCCATTTCCCTCACCTCCTCTTTGTTTCCCTCAAATCAAATATATTGTAATAGCTAATTAGTAATTTATTTTAGTTAATTAAGATTAATTTTTAGTTGTAGGTCCTAAAAATAAGTTTAAGAAGCATTTTGAAGTTATTAGAAGAAAAAATAGAAAGGCAAGGGACCATTTTGAATTTTAACCCATTAGAGTTAACTGTATTAATGAGGACCTATTGGCTTCGGTCCAATTGGATCCACTTTGAGAATTTCAATGACTTAAGGACCTTACTTGAGCACAATAGAACTTTGAAACCTTAATTACGGATTTGGTGAAAGTTTGGATCTTAGTCAATGCTTAAGCCATTAACACTATGGGGGTATTTGGAAACCTTAAGGTGTGTTTGGTTATAGATCACTTTCTTCTGAAAGTTTTTATTGTGAAAGTAGTTGAAAAAATATTACATAAAAAGTTAAAAAGTATTGTACAAAAAATTACTAAGTTTCTATAACAAGGTTTTGTTGGAATTTTGTTTGGGTTATTAATTTTGTTATATTTAAGTAAAAAATTGATATAGAGAAACTTTACAAGGGAAAGTTGTTCAATGGGTCTAATATAGAAAAGTTATAAAGAAGTTTTTTTCTTTAGAAATATGAAAGACGAAAACTTTATAAGTTGCTAATTGTGTCAAAAAAATAAAGATTAAAATTTTTTTTACCTTTATTTATTGTAATTTTGAGGCATGTGAGAATCAAAATATATATCCTTGCAAAATCTTGCAATGAGGTATTTCCTAGAAAAATAAAAGGATTAAAGCCCACTACAGTCCCTCTACTCTCAACTTTCATTCATTGTTCTCCCTATACTTAAAATTGTTCAAAATCCTCCCTCTGCGTTAACTTCCATTACATTTACCTCCCTCCCCTGACACAACCCTAACACCATTTATAACTCCCACTAACAGAGGGATTTTTGAGAGTTAAGTGCAATAAATTTTTTTTTTTTTTTGTTGAATTTTGTTTGAGGGCCCACAAAAATCCATATCAACAACCCCCAAAACTCCTGTCTTATTCCCTTTATGAAAATCTGAAAATCCCTAAATCCCTAAATCAAGCCAACCCATCTGAGGTTCTAGACAAATTTATCCTTAGATTGGTTTATATACATAAAATGATATTATTTGATGTTTCTTTCATGCTCTTCAAGCTAGAAGAATTCAATGGCAATAGCTCCAATTCTAGACAATCAGTACAAGATTCATAATAATAGTGGCAAAAAATTAGAGCAAAAGAAATTGGCAAAGTATGCAATGCAATGTAAAACTAAGGCGACTTACGAGCAAAATTATGTTGGCTACATCCATAGAAGTACGTTGAATCTGAAGATAGGAAAATTCCTCTATGGTACGATTCACCAAATTTTTCTTTATTATGTTGTCAAGATTTAATTTTAAATCTTATATTAGTGAAAATGTTTTAACAAAATTTATTATAAATGTATTAAGAATTTTTATAATACATATAATATCTTTTTATGATGTAATAATTAGAATATTAAATTTTTATCTGTTAATATTAATTAATTAAATAAATTACTATAAAATTAAAAAATGACAATCAAAACTCACTCTCTCTCTCTCCATTTTTCTCATCAAGATTTAATTTTAAATCTTATATTAGTGAAAATGTTTTAACAAAATTTATTATAAATGTATTAAGAATTTTTATAATACATATAATATCTTT